AGGCGAACTCCCCTCAGGTGGCAGTCCTTGCAGGAGATGGCGGGGCTGAGGGGCAAATGCAGCCAGAACAGGGGCGTATCCATCCCGCATCCAACGTACACTGGAGTACAATAGGCTGAAATATAAAGAAAATGATATAAATAAATTGCATCACCGAACATTTCGTAAAAAAAAACAAAAAAAAACAGCAACAACAACAAAACAGTGGTGCTGCTGCATCGAAAACACTCACCTTCTCCAATCTTCTTAAGTTCTTTTTTCACATTGCTTGTGAACTGCATGATGGTGAAGTTCAGCACCGTGAAGAAAGGCGTGGCAGCGGCCAGGTCCTCTGGGATGATGACCTCAGCATCCGCATCCCACGAGGCACCACCCAGAGCAAGCTTTTCGAGAACGAGAGTCGTGATTTCGTCCTCTTCGTCGATCACTCGACTGTCTCCCTCAGCTTTGAAGCCAAGACTATCCCAAAGTGCTTGGGTAACGACTGCCACCTCCATTCCTGGGGCGCGCACTTCCCCGAAGTTGTTACGGATAAATGCTGCCCAAGCTGCTGCGGGTTCTTGTAGGAGGCCCAATCGGATGCTTTTGATGGGACTAGGCTGGTTGACTATTCCTGTAAGATAGTGCCCACGCCAAAGCATTCTGCAAAGCAACGTCTCGACGTCGCACTCGTCAGCATCTTGTTGGTTCTGGACAAGATTAAGATCTGGGGATTCAAGGATTTCAGACACAGATTCTATGTCATCTGTCTGCTTCAGTTTCGAGAAAACAGATTCTGATGTCTTAATATAGTGTTCAAACTCTTGCCTGAGGATGAGTTGTAAAGAAGTCTGGGCTGGTGTGGCACTGATTTCCTTCTTAGGCTTTGGAGTGAACATCTTAATCCAGTAATCTGTCTCTGTTGCTATCTCTGACTTACTGGCTTTGTCCATTCGTCTCATAGCTATGATAATGCTCTCGGCTTCTTTCCTCTGATTCTCAAATATAAGAGTTGGGGCGCCATGGGTGAGTGACACATTTTGAGCTAAATAAATGTATTCCATCTGTGCTGTATGGTCCTCCATTGAAGTGGATCGTGGTACTGAGTAATGGGTGAGAGCTGAGACACGACTTGAAATATTCTGGATAGCTTCATTAGACAGATATTCATTCAGTAGGCGAGTGAGTATGATGTAACTTTCTTCTGTCACTGCCCCATTAATGTAAATACTTGTAAGCTGTTCTAGCAGTGCTGGAACAAGAGTGCCGTCGACTGTATGGGCTCCAGACACCAGAGACCTTAGGCAAGCCTCTGCCTCTTCCCACTGGTCATCTCCAATCGTCTGAGCAAGGGGCGTACTGGGGTCCTCAAAGGCCTGGCGAGTAACAAAACCTATGTGAAAGAGAGCAAGGCCCATAAGGCACCACTTGCTCCATTCATTAGTGTAGGCATTGAGACGAGACTCACCAATGAGTTCGTATAAATGAATTATTGATTCCTTGACAGTTTGTGGAAGGCTTAAATACACTTTATGACAGGACATCATTAAGTTGGTTGGCAAAGTGTCTTCCTCCTGTAGATACATCCAAATCTGGAATCGCTTGTGGGCCTCCTTAATGCACTTATCCTTTAAAAGTTTACACAAGTGATTAATACATGACTCAGCTTCAGTATCCTTTTTCAGAAGGAGCCAAAATCCTTTCTGGCAACACTTCTGAAAGATGAGGTTTAGGTAGTCCTCTCTCCCTTCACTGAGAGCCAAGACATTAACAGAATCTGGGTTTGATATGAGGACAGGATGGCACAGTGGTTGTATTTGCCCTAGGATGTGTTCCACATCAAGAGGTGCAGAACTGTAGATGATAACTGGTTCAGTGGGTGAGCCCTTTCCAGCAACAGCAAGTAATGCTTTGGCTGAGGTAGGATCAGCCTCCACCCTCAGTACACGTTCTACATAGATCATAGAAGCTTCATCCAGGCGATCTGGACGGAGGCAGTTAATCAGGATAAGTTTGGCAACCCCACGAATCTTTCTTTCCAACTTATTGGGCAGTGGCACTGTTTCTGGCTGTTCTGTAACATACCATACTCGCCAAAGTTTTTCATGAGTTGTTAGACTTTCAATAAGATGTGTGAAAGGTTCCACTTTAGAGAAAGAGAGTATCTGGAGCCACTGTGAATCTGTCAACCATACAGGGTGAGAGGACTTGGGCACAGCACAAGATTTCTCGCCCTTTGGTTCTTTCTTCTCAGACTCAAGAGATGAGAGCTGACTTCCAATCTGTGAGGAGGAGGAGGCGTGTAGGAGAGAGCAAAACTGGGGTGTGGTGAGACCGATGTGACACTCGTACCACATGGCTAACACAAGGCCTATTGTCACCAGTGCTATGTCATCAACTTGATCTTGAAAGTACCTGTAAGGAGAGTCGGTAAAGATTATGATGATGAATTGAAATACACTCCTTTATGATAAGCATATATATATAAGTTAAAGAAATGTGTAGCGTGCTGGAAGTGTTCAGAGTGATATATGAGTTTCTTAAGTCTATGTGGGACTATGCCATGCTCTCCACTTAGATATTTTTCATCTTTCACATATTTTTAACAATTATGATCATCATAGAAGACTGACCTTACAATTTCATGACTTAAGATATCATCTCTAGTACCTTATTGGCTTATCTAATTACTTGATTTTGCATTTTATATCCCCCCCCCCATTTTCTACCTTAAGTTCAATCTTTGTACCACAAAATCAATCGAAATTTTAGTTTCTACAATAAATGACTTTCCACAGCAATGTGTCAGTGGGGGAAAACTTGCCGTCTTACACCAGTGATTAAAATCTTAATAACTCTCTTTAAAAATACATGAAATTTATCAACAAACCTAAATATTGTTTGCAGCATTTTGATGACAGTGTTAGCGTCGAGAAGTCTGCCCCAAGCATTGGCAAAGTTTTGAGGCTGCATCTCTCCAATGACGAGAGCACTGAACCTGTCGATCCCAATGACCAAAGAGGGATTGAATAGTGGGAGTCGCTCCACAAGGATGTAGATTTCGGTAAGGAGTCCCGAAATCTTACCATAAGTCTTTATGCCCTCTTTAGCAGCATCAAGGGACTTTCTTAAGTCATGGCACTTCTTCTTGGCATCAGTTGCTTTAGCACATGCCGCCTGTAACATCTCCATCAATGTGCTCTCTTCAAGCACATCATCATCAAAGCGAGCCATAAGGCTTCTTATGGTTGCCTCTTGTTCTGCTAGTTGGTTTTGCTTTTCCAGCAGGTCGAACTCGCTCTTCTTTAGGGATTCTATGAGATCCGGCTGACAGTGGGAAGCAACTCTCATTGTAAGTAATTTCATCATACCCTCCTGGTTGCTTTGCATGTCTACTACATTCACAAGTGTTTTAATGTTATTGTCTAAGTAGTCAATATTACTCTTTAGAATAATGAAGAGTCTGAAATCCTTGTGTAATTCATAGGTTTCATTTCCAACTTTGAGTAATGTTTTATCCTTGCTGGACGATTTTACTTGCTCCATCTCAAGAATCTGGAACAATTTTATAGGGAACGATAACTCCTCTAGAGTAATAATGCATGATCTGCCTTTAGATATTGCCTCAGCAAACTGGTCCATAAACTCCTCTTCTTCAAGGTTAACCTCCATGGCATCTTTCCTCTTGTGAATCCAGGTTTCAAGCAGACAGTGAGGGTCGAGGATAAGCTGTGGTAAGTCCGAGTTGGATATAATAGCTGCATTCTCAAGCAAGTAATTGTCCATTGGCAGACCTTCTTCATGCCACTTGGCCTGGGATTCCATGGGAGCAAGAATGTCAAGGCTGGTCCTGTCTTCAGTATTGAATATGCAGAGTTCATTCATCTTATCTTGCCAAGATTTGATTACGTCAGGTCTTTCTTCATGGTTAAAAGTGCCCAAATATGTCACATAAGCTGCTGCCAGGACAGCATCACCAAAGATATTTCGTAGCTTAACACTGCATTGAGATAATGCTTCCTCCCAATGGATTTTGTCTTCTCCAAGCTGAGTCATTACCTTCTGGGCCAACTGTATCCGGCTCTCGAGTACTTTCATCTCTTCCTCAGCTACTTCAAGCTGGTGTTCCTTTTCCTTCAACTGGGCCATAAGGACTTTATGCTCCATACCAAAACCAGTCAAGTCTTCTTGGTATTGGTTAATTGTTGCTTCTGTTGCTTCAATTTCTCTTGTAATAATGTCAGCCTGAATTTTCAAAGGATGGTAGTCTTTATATACTCTTACATATTTTTCAAAGGCACAAAGCCAACTAAGGAATGTTGCAGCTGTGAATGATTCTTCTGTAACTTTTTCCAAGTTCAAATCTTCCATTTTCAGGTAGGCCTGAATTCTGGTTAAAATCTTCTCATCTGTCTCTTCTACTGGAATTTTCCTAATAGATGAGATGAAATTGAGTCCACTACTCATTTGTTTCTTGGCTTCATTCCAGGAAGGATCAAGTCCCAGGGTCGTTAGCACTGCATCAAACACCAATTCAACTGAAGGAGGAGGCCTAGAAAGGGACTTGAGTGTTTCTAACTCAGCCCTTGTTATGCGGTCCAACTTTCGATGTGTTGCTTTCATTTCCTGTTTTGGAGCTGTGAGGTCGCGGCTGATGAGTTCTCTAATCCTCAAGGACTCATCTTTTTGCCTCTTCAGAAGTCCCAAATTCTTATTGAGATCCTGCTCAAGCCTCCCTTGCTCAGATTTAATATTACGCATCTTGAGAACAACGCTGCCACATGTCTGCTGGATGTAGGTCACCTGAGCACGCTGTTCTTCTAGCTGTTTAGAAAGTTCTGTAACACGTTTCTGTGTGTCTTCAAACTTGATAATGCTCGTGTTGAGTTTCTCTTTCTCTTCAATGATGCCAGTTAATAGCTTATCATGAAGATGCAAGAATGACTTTAGAAACCCTAAGAACCTGCAAGATGGCTGCCACTTTGCCTCAGAATTATTTTGGTGAATGTATGCCATGACTTCGGCTACAGCTTGTGCTTTCAGTTCTGGCAGTGACTGCCCCAGTTTTTCCATAAGAATTTGTTTTGCGACAGTTTGAAGCTCCTCGCTATTCCATTCTTGGAATGAATCAACATAATAGTTTGAAACTGCAGGAATATACTTCAAAATATCATATGCCTCTTTTAGTGTAGGAGTGGAAATCAAGATTCTTACAGTATGCTGAGCCTCATGAACATTTGCAATATTCTGTTTTTCAACCAAAAGGTCATTCAAGAATGCAATATTCCTTAAATCATCCAGTACATTCCAGTCTATAATAACAAGTACCGAGATGCCTTCAGTGAGATCCTTAATAATATCTTCTCTTTTAGTTTCTGCTTCTGATTCAGTACCATTAATGTCATATGTTTTGAATCCAGCTATAGATGACACTAAGCGGGCACAAGTTTTTTTGCCACATCCCTCTGGTCCAGTTAAAATGAGATGCCCCCCAATGCTATCTAAGGCTCTGGAGGATTTTATTTCTCTTGACTTTGGTTTCCCAAGGATTCTTATCAGGTGAATGCTATGGTGGATGAGACTGTCATAAATGGCAAATAATCCCTTAGGACCTAGTAGAGCCTGCCCTGCACTCTTAATCACATTTCGAACAGTGTCAGCTTGTATATCTGTGTATAAATTGTCATCACTAGCAAGGCGGGTCAGAAGGAACATGCCTGGGTTATCACAGACTTTATCAAGGGATATGCAGAGATACTCTGACAATACATCATTTATCAGACTTTCAAATTCTTTTGGCTGTATGACGCCGACGTCTTGGAAGACTCTGAAGCATTCGTGAGCTAGATGCTTCAAGAAATTATCACGGTCCTGTGTCTCTTCATCTCCAAGTTGAAGTCCCTTGAGAACAGATATTACTTGTCGTGGGTGGTGGACAAGAGGTAGGTGATCTCCACACACTTGCTTGCTCACTTCACCCATACGGCGGTACAAATGTACTATGCCTTCTGCAACTACAATCTTCAGGCACTTTACTTCCTGTTCAAAGTGGCCAAGATTCTGATCAAAGAGTGTACAGAATATGCCTTCCAACTCCGCATTTTCGCAAGAGGGTAGGGTTAGCAGATGAAAGGATCCCATCCAGAAATTTTCAATGTGATTATTAATCATCTGGGTGTCGTCCTGCCCTCCTGAGGTGCACTCTTTTGTTTGGTAGGTAAACAAATAACAAATTTCTGGAAGTCTAAGGAAAGATTTAATCTCATGATTAAACAGTTTATGGTACTTTGCAGTAAAGTTAGTGGTCGCTAGGACCTGATGCATGTGGTTTTCACCTTCACTGCAGTGGAGATCATCGACTAGCATGTGAAGTTTTGACTTTCTACCTGCTAGTATGTCTTTACCTTGTTTCATGAGGTTTTCTTCGATTGTTCTTTGTATGTCCTTAGGTTGGGTGAAAGATGTATAGCTGACTACAGAAAGATCTGTGGTGCTATTCATAGTTTGCCTTAGGACATTTATCAAAGTTGACTTTCCTGACCCAGGATTACCTCTCAATATGACGGGAATGCCCTGACTCATCAAAATTTGGGAGACCTTTGAGTATTTTACAATACGGTCAGTCATGACAATGTTGGTGTTAACAAATGGGTTGTACATTTTCATTTCCGTTGTGAATTTTGCCCATGGCTTAAATTGACCTGATGGTATGTCCACACAATAATCGTAAATCCCTCCCTCAGGGACATTTTCGATCGTCCTTGTCACCACTTCCCGAAATTCGTCGGCCTCGGATGATGATATGCAGGCACCAAAGGACCAGATGATGCCAAAGATGAATGCAGGTGTAAGCCTCTCTACCCAGTCTTCAGTCTCTGTTTGTGTCAGCTCAGTGTCTAAAAAGTAATTAAGAATAGCCACAAATGCTCTAGCCTTCATGATCATGTGAGGTTTCTTCACTTCACTCTCTTGCAGGATATTTATAAAATTTGGAAGGTTTTTCTTTACCAAGCTTTGGAGGGCTCGAGATATTCTGTAGTTGGTGAGTGTACCTAACCAACTGTGGACAACCTCTTCCCACAACTGTGGCTGGGCCGGGAAGAACACACCGAAGCACGAGGTCAGCTCTGCTGGGGTTAGACACCCAATGTCCCCAGCTACCTCTATGATAAATTTCAAGTTGCTTGGCAGAGGAATACTCTGCCGGTTGTTGCCCATAAAGGAATTGCTCCTCGCATCTAGGTGGACAAAGAAATCATGAAGCCATGGGTGTCCATATGGTCCATCGAACACAATCCAAGTTTCGAAGCCTGAACTCGACTTCTGAGACTTCCTTACAAGCCGTGCTAAGAAACCTTCATTTGTTTTTCCCACCACATCTTCATAAGGGCCATAAAGTGTTGTGTCTTCAACTATGAGTGGATTTATTACCTCTCTTTTAGTAGCCTTGTAACTGGCATTCCCTTCATTGTTGAGTTTGTTGTATACGTTCTCAAGGGTCGTTAGGGATGTGGACTTCCCTGATCCTGATTTCCCGAAGAGTATGATCGTTTGGTTCCTGGAGATAGCATCGTGTAGCTGCAGAACCTTGTCGACATAGCTGTCCTTGACAATCAAGTTATTACTCTTCATCATTGCTGTCACACCATCCTTCAGAATGTCATTAACATAAGGAGCAATGTCAAATTCAGGGAACATTATCTGAAACATTTCCTTAAAGATAGGAGCATCTTCTTCCCTCAGCTGAGGTATCAGGTACTCTCTCAGGGCCAAGGGGACGGTATCAAGTTCATCTACTTCTGGCTGCCTCTTCATCACTTCCTTGGCCAGATTAAGTATAATAGGAATACTTCTTACACCCAGCTGGTATTTGTGGCGTCGCGGCAGTGAGGTGGAGAGACTGGCCAACGTCTGGCCAAGTTTGTGGGCTAGAGATGTGCATTCCTTGAAACCCTCGATTACCATGTAACATTCAGTGATTATCTGAAAAAACAACAACATTTAAATGTACGTCTTGATAGCCCACTACTATTGCCTTCAATTGGAAATTGCTTATATGAAAATCATAATGTTTCTAATATTCATACTTACAAATAGCACATATAGTAAAAAATTGTTAGTGAACTGCAAATATATATATATATATATATATATATATATATATATATATATATATATATATATGTATGTATGTATATGCTTATCTACTGCATATTTAACATGAAAAGGCCAATGGGAGGGGCACCTAGGTACCCTTGAAAGAATAAAAAAAGACTCTGGGAGTTCCCATGTTTAAAAGAAATGAAGGAAAAAGACTGGATCTACCTAGCTATCTATCTAACACCGGGTCTACGGGTTTTCGAGAGAATTGGTAATTTCCAAACAGTTCCTATGTATGGAAGAGGCCTCATGGGTATGATGAGGTCTCTTGAAAAGGATTAGGAAATAGGGACCTGTACACATTTCCTCAGTTTTGGAGGAGAGTAACCTACGAGTAGTATCTATAAAACAAGGTGAGGTAAACTCCTGGAGAAAAGAGAAAAGAGTGATTAAAGAATAAGAGTGAGTAGCCTTTTGCCCTCAAGGATATGTACAAAAGGCTTTAAACTCTCCCAGGGACAGATAAGGCCACTGTACCATCAAGAACACACAACAGGTATAAAGCGAATCAGAATAAGAACAAAGCTGAGGATTCATGGGCAGAGAGAAGAAAATAAAGCCGAAAAGCTGGAAGGAAAATGAGGTCATAGGGCCTTCTGGCAATCTGTTACAAGGCCTGAGAGATATCAAGAGTTGGGACATAAGATTCTCCAAAGTCCCTCGGAGATGATGATTACAGAACTGTGGTAAAAAGATACTGGTCTATTGAACTTGCCTTTCGATGATCACACTGGGAATCGGAGAGAAGGGCATTAATATCTTAGATCATGAATGGTATAAAATGTCTGGATATCTTTGGTTATTGAAGCAGTCTATCTCGTTCAGACGCATATGTACAAGATTATATTATTTCTTTTATTATTACCTCTCTATTTATGCGTGTGTGTGTGCGTGTGTGTGTGTGTGTGTGTGTGTGTGTGTGTGTGTGTGTGTGTGTGTGTGTGTGTGTGTGTGTGTGTGTGTGTGTGAGAGAGAGAGAGGGGGAGAGAGAGAGAGAGAGAGAGAGAGAGTGAGTACGAGTTTGTTTGGGTGTGTTTTTGCTTTATAATATGCAGATACACACAAATACATATGTATCCATATATCCATGACACACATTACATGTGCTAGCTTTATGTCTGTGTCATCCTCCACCTTTGTATATCAACAAAGGGATGAATGTTTAGCACATAACAACACTTAATCATACATACTGTAAATATAAAATTATGACTGCGGCAAATATCCATCATATCAATGCAAATATACCTGGTGCAATACCTATATGCTATTATACAAGAAAAAATAACATCTATCATGCAAGATGCTATCATATAAGACAACTATATATGACATCTATCATACAGGATGCAATTATACAAGACAAATTCATAGCATCTGTAACTGTATGTTTCCACAACAAATAATCGTAAGTACTGCATGCACGGATATCGTCAGACATTAATCTTATCTCTGTGCTATCATATACAACGAGTAAAAAATACCTGAATATCTGGTGTGACGGTAACAGCAGGTTTGCATTGTCGTCTGAGGATGTCCATAGCGTCTCTCGAGAAAGGATAGTTGTGATTCATCTCCAGCACAACAGCGGAAAGGGGTGACACATTCACTTTCACGCCCTCAAACACCTTCATGGGCTGCTGTTGTGACTTCGAAGGCTTTCCAGCTTTGATTCCTGCAACTGCCTTCTGTGCCACCTGCACCGTCTGGATCATTTCACCCAAGGCCGGCACAACGTCTGGGTTCAGAAGATGTGCTTGCTCTAGGACTAGCCAGCTGTACGAGAGGCTTGTTCCCAAAAGGAGCCGAGCTAAGTGGACAGAGGTAATGGTTGGGGCGCATGTCACAGAGACTAGGTGGCGACCCACTAAATTAGCCATTGCCCTTATGGTTTCAGTCTTCCCTGTGCCATTTCCTCCATGGAGTCCAACTGTCAGTCCTTGGGCCAGGACAAGGGCCACATTGACCATTGCACGGTTAATCGAAGGTGTAAATACTGTGCATGGCCATAGCCCTTGGTACTCCCAAGAGTAAGTAAGCTCTGATGCTGTTCCAAACTGTGTCAGCACATTGTCAGTGTCCTTGTCCCATGTGTAGCGTAAGGGCATCTCTCCTTCACTTGTCAGTCCCTTCCTACTTTCTGAGGCTGCTGTCAGGAAGTCTCTCAACTGTAGGATAATCAAATAAAAGAGTCGAAATCTCTCACGCATCAGTTTCGAAAGGTTACCTTGAAGGGTGCTGTCAAGCCTTACCTGAGAATCCCGAATACGTTTCTTTAATGATTGTAGCTGTTCAGCATTCATGTGACCTTTAAACTTTGCCAAAGCTCGGCTAATCTCACTTGTCCAATGCAAGAGAAAGGCCACAACATTAACTTGAAGAGGCCACAATTTGATTACTTCATCCACCCTTACTCCTGCAACTTTCATACTATTCCTACACTGCTTTACACCCTCTCTAAGGGTGTTTTCTATCCCCGAAGCCATATTGCGCAACCATGTGTCAAAGGACCCCAATATTGGGACATAGGAGTTCAGCTCAAGGAACTCACCCTCTTTTGAATAGACACCAATAATTTCCATTGCATTTAACTGACTGTTCTTTTCCTGTTTGATCTTAGCTACAGTAGTAAACATTTTCAGCAAGAACGGCTTTGCATGTTCCCCTTCCAAAACAGTGGATATTGCCGTCACAAGATCGTCATCTGACAGGAGCCAAAACCGTGGAAATTGTTCCCTTCGATCCTGAAGGTATGGCTTGATTTGGTTAGTGATATTGTTAAGACCTTCAGACACAGCGATGACTTCCTCCTGAAGTTCGTCTTGCAGAGCCAATGGCTGGAGGAACTTCTCTTCACTCATTTCATCAGATAACTGTTGCCAGCGGTCGTTGAGCGAGTCAAAGGAGGCCGTGGCTTGAACTAAGTGGAATCTGACATCCATCACATGGAAGAAGGGCTCCCAGGCAGACCACTTTTTCTGGAGGAGCTCGACATTTTCAAGGAACCTGATCATAGAGGAGAGCATCTTCTGAATATCCTGTACCTCATCTAGATAAGGTTTGGCATGGTGCGATCCAGCCAGAATCTGCAGCCTCATGTTGAGTTCCGCAATGGTAGAGTTTGCTTCAACAGTTGACTGCACGACAGCGATACCCATGGAGGGGATTGCTCTCATGTTGATTGTAATTTGTGAGGCAAGGCTCTCTATATCTCTAATATTGTTGACAATCTTCGTTTCTTCAGAGGCATCCACCATTATCTCTGCTAGCTCTCTTTTATAGGAAGTCAGATTAAGTTTTTGGAGGTATCCAAGAGTAAAGCTCTCAGAGTCCTTATCAAAGTCAGCCTTGACAAGGTATTTGATCTGATCCCAATGATGAAATTTTAAATTAGCAGTTTGTAGATTTTGAGTTAAAGGCACGAGAAGTTTGCATAATTCAATGTGACTGAGCACCTCCTCCTTGACTTCCCACTCGCTCTCACCCATCACAGTGCCTTCTTTTATATTTGCCAAATTTAAAGCTGCAAAGGGTTGAATATTCCTAATTTTCTGACTGTAAACAGACAGCATTTCCTGTAGAGCCACAACACTCACTTCCCACACAACTAAGTTTGCCCACTTTCCCCACGTTGTCTGCCATTCTTCCAGCAACAGCCATATCTTCTCTGCTGCAATTAGGTCATGCTGGAACCCCGTCAGCTCAGAAAATTCAATCACCTGCAGACTCAGTAGCTCTAGATTCTCATTGATATCCAGTTTGGTCACAATGTCGTCCATCATTTCTTTGAGTTTGGCTATGTTCTCTTTAGCCTCTGGAATGGTTTTGTCTAGTCTTGTTGGCAACGTTTGCTTGAAAAACTGCTTTAAGGCATCCACTTCCTCCATAACAATTTCTGAACGATCACTAAATTTCTTCCTGTGTGCATTGAGGTCAGTGTTCAGTTCATGGATTTTGTTAGTCAGTGCAGCTTCTACAGAATCCCATTCCTTTTCCAGCTTAGCAAGACGATCATCCACATCAGAAGGGATGACATAGCGGTATTTCTTTAGTACGTGGAACTGCTCCCTCACTGGTGTGAATTCTTCCCTATACAAGGCCAACTGCTTCTTGGCAAGGTGGCATTCATCAGCTGCTGTAAGGAGCGACGGAATGTCTTTTGGGTCACTATCCAAAAGTGCATTGGTCTTCTGGCCATAACTATACAGAGTATCCAGCTTTTCAGATGCGATTTTGAAAAGGTTATTTTCAAACTCTGATATCCAAGAACGGCAAAGGGTTGAAAGCTGTACCTTCAATTCCTCACAGTTTGCATAGAAAGTCCCTACTTTTATGTTATCATTACTGCCCTCAATCTCATTGAGCTTACGTTCAAATGTCATGATGTCAGTTTCGAAGATGTACACACTGTTGGCACAGCTCAAGTAATGTTGGAAAAATTCTGCCTTGTCGACTTCCCATAAGTCTCGATACTGCTGCCACTCTTCCAACTTCCCTTTCAAAGTACTTACTTGCTTCTCAAACTCTTCCGTCAGTTTCGTCTGAAGTTTATCACACATTTCATCTTGCAGTGCTTTCAAGTGGTCGTGCTCCTTTGCTTTCTCCATTGCAAATTTCCGCAAGAGGCAGGGGATCTTGCTCAGGCTCTCAGAGAACTCCTTTTGCAGCAGCGAAACAGACTTTGAGATTCGACTCACCGATGGCGTGCACACGATCTTCCCGTCCAGAAGGCGGACAGAGATCTTGAAGACTGGAGCCAGCTGGTCAGTCGGGCAGCTGCGGGACCCCATCAGCATCCCTTCGAACATGAGCAAGGACTTCCTAAGGATCTCCCTTTGGCAGTCCAAGAAAAGGTTGTCAATCCTGAAGACATACGCCGTCCATGCTTCCACGGATTCGGGGATAGATTTGCTAATCATCTTTTTGTTCAAGCTGTCCAAGACCTGTTCCATCTGGAGGAACGCATCCTTCACCTCCTTCATGGCCCGGACCCGCTGGAGCTCCAAGTCCTCCTGGAAGCCCTCGTTCTCGTAGATCACCTCATCGTTCTTGGTGAACAGCACCAACTCCTTCGCCTCCATCAGCGTCGACGAGAGCTTCTGATTCACCGTCAGGTAGTACGAGAGCTGGGCCTGGAAGGCGTCGACGATGGTTTTACACTTGCTCAGCAGGGCCGAGGCCTGCTGACGGTGCACCCAAGTGACCGAAGACAGGCCGGGATAGAAGGCCCGGACCACCTTCTCCACTTGGCCCTCGAACATCTGCGCTTCGTGGCGGGACATCCGGGTCATGAAGCTGTTGAAGCTCCCGCAGCATTCCAGCACCTGGGGTGGGGGGGGGATGAGGGGGGGGAGAGGTTAGGCGAGGATGCGGCCGGGGCAACGAGGCAGGGGCGAGGCGGGGGAGGTGAAGACGGCGATGAACATTTCATATTAACAAAAATAACAGCGTTAATAATAACAAGCAATGGAAAGTAGAAATTCCATCTCTCGTGTTTCATTCCTATTATCAGTATCTTTCTAAAAACAGGAGGAAGTGAGAGAGAGAGAGAAAGAGAAAAAAATGAGTGAGAGAAAGAGTGAGAAAGAGAAAGAGAAACAAAGAAAAAGAGAAAAAGAAGAAAAGAAAAAAAGAAAAAAAAGAAGGAAAAAAGGAAAAAGAAGAATAGAAAAGAAGAAGAAGAGACGAATAACCATAAATACCAAAAAAAAAAGAGACAATCAACCGGAGACACCCTTGAACATCCCAAAAACAAGCTTCCTCCCTCTCCCCCCGCCCCCCCCCAAAAAAAAAAAGGCAAACCGACTGCCCTCACCTGCTTCTTGAGACTCAGGTACACCTCACTCTCCTGGAAGACGTGGCTGAGGCTCTCCGGCACCTCGAAGCCCATCTCTTTCCACGCCTTCGTCTCCTCCAGGTTCTTGTTCAGGTGGCTGGCGGGGGGAAGAGGCAGTGGAGTTATTAGCTTTATTGCTGTTGTTGATATTATTACTATTATTATTACCATAATTATTATTACCATTATCGTTATTATTATTATTATCATTATATTTATTATTATCATTAACATTGCTACTACTGTTATTGTTATTGCTGTGATAATTATTACGGAGAGAAAAAACAACTATTAAATAGAGAAAAAAGGAAAATAAGAAAAAGAACGAGGAAGAGGAGGAAAAGGAGAAGGGGGGAGAGGAGGAAAAGGAGGAAGAGGAGGAGGAGGAGGAAGAGGAGGAGGAGGAGGAGGAGGAGGAGGAGGAGGAAGAGAAGGGGAAGGGGAGGAGGAGGAAGAGGAAGAGGAGGAGGAGGAAGAGGAGGAGGAGGAAGGGGAGGAGGAAGAAGAGGAAGAGGAGGAAGAGGAGGAGGAGGAGGAAGAGAAGGAGGAAGAGGAGGAAGAAGAAGAAGAAGAAGAGGAGGAGGAGGAGGAAGAAGAGGAGGAGGAAGAGAAGGAGGAAGAAGAGGAGGAGGAAGAAGAGAAGGAAGAGTAGGAGGAAGAAGAAGAGGAGGAGGAGGAGGAAAAAGAGGAGGAGGATGAAGAGGAGGAGGAGGAAGAAGAGGAGGAGAAGGAAGAGGAGGAAGAAGAAGAAGAGGAGGAGGAGGAAGAGGAAGAAAAGTAGCAGGAAAAGGAAGAGGAGGAGGAGGAGGAGTTAGAGGAGGAGGAGGGGGAAGAGAAGGAGGAGGAGGAAGAGGAGGAGGAGGAAGAAAAGTAGCAGGAAAAGGAAGAGGAGGAGGAGGAAGAGAGGTTGGAGGAAGAGCAGGAGGATGAGGAGGAGGAGGAGGAAAAGGAGGAGGAAGAGGGGGAGGAAAAAGAAGAGAAGAAGAAGAGAATGATGAGCGAGAGGAGGAGGAAGGGGGAAGGAGATGGCGGAGGAGGAGGACTCAGAGGAGAAGAAAAAAGAGAAAGGGAAGAAGGAGAAGGAGGAAAGGCAAACTCACACATCGAAATTGGCCTGGATGTTCTGCACGGGGCCGGGCTTCCACACGAACACGGGCGCCGTCAGCCTCCTGGACGGCTGCGGCTCCAGCGAGGCGTTCCAGGCGGCGTACATGTTCTGGACGACGCCCTGCAACAGCGCCACCGTCCGCGCCCACCGCTCGTACACCGTGTCCAGCCGCGGGTAGTAGGGCAGCCACGACTGGTTCTTCAGGAGCTGTCGGCGGGAGAAAAGGGGGGTGGGGGTGGGGGTGCTATTATTATCATTACTGTTATAAATTCTTATACAGCTATTGTCATCATTTACACCGTTAATAATAATTGCGGCGATAGTGATTATAGTATTATCTTTATTATTACCATTATCATTATCATTGTTCTCCTGCTCATCATCACATCATCATCATTATCTTCATTATCTGCATCATCCTCATCATCTTCACCATCATTATTATTATCGTTATCCTTATTTTCATCATCATTGTTACATTATTTTTACTATTAGTAGCATTAATAGTGCAACCACTGTAAATGTTTTCACCATTATTATTAGTCCTATAAAATAGACAGCTAGTTTGTATTTAAGTGCTCTCTAATATGTATTTTTTTGTTACAAATTAATTTGATAACTGTCAACTATGCTCTTTACTGAAACAGCAGTATATTCAGTGGTACTTATGCAAAGTTTTGAGGGGTAAGTTATCGCCTAAAGTTTGGGAACCATTATCGGAAAGGAACGTTTAAAAAAAGAAAATAGGATGAAGAAGCACGCACATACACATAGACACCAACATACACACACACACACATACACCCCCCCCCCCCCCACACACACACACGGAGGCCGTACATTGACTTCATGCTCGAGCTTCTTGCGCGTGTCGGTGGCCCACTTGGCCATCCTGGAGAAGTAGAAGCCGCTGCTGCCGACCTTCATGGAGCGGAACACGTACTCCTTCTCGACCTCCTCGAAGTCGCGCTCGAACAGGTTCAGGATCTGCGAGGGGGAGAGGGAGCGAGGCCGGTTATGGGCACGAGAGGGGCGGGGAGAGAGCTTCACGGCCCCACTATCCCCAGCAAAACTTGGTCAGTGAAAATGAGTCATAAAAGAACTATACAGATTAGCATAAATTCGTGTCATAACGTTTATAAAAAAAAGAGGGTAACGTATAAATTATATATATGCAACCCCCCCCCCACACACACACACGCGCGCGCTTATATGTACATGTACATTTCAGTGATACATGAATATACCCCCTGCATATATCTACAAAAAGGGAACTCTCCTCCCATTTTCTCACATGGTCGATCATGACGTAGAAAACGGAGAAGAGGGACTTCCTGGCGGCGAGCGGCTTGAACACGTTGAGCACGCGCAGCCCCTGCGCCGCCGACTCCACCGTCTGCACCGCCGCCACCATCACGCACTGGTAGCGCCGCTCCACCTCCTCCATGCTCTCGCGGAACCTGGGGGAGGGGGGAGGGGTTAAGGGAGAGTAAGAGAGGGGAGGGAGATTGGAGGAAGGGAATGGGGAAAGGGAAGGGGTCACAAACAGAAGGGATGGAGAATAACGGAAATGGGAGAATGGGGAAAAAGGAAAGAATTGGAGAAAGGGAAGAAATTTGAGGGAAAACAAGGGAGATTAAAAAGGGGGAAAGACTAGGAGGAAGGGAGGAAATTTAAGGGAAAGGAGAGGGAGATTTGAGAAGAGGAAATAATGAGAAGGGGAAGAAAGGCATATTAAGGAAGGGAAAAGAATGGAGAAAAGGTAAGGAAAGTGAGGAGATTAGAGGGAGAAACAAGGGAGATTAAAGATGAAAAACGAATAAGAAAATGGAGAGTGAGGAAAGGAGAAATAATGGAAGAATCAGAGGTAATCAGAGGCGAAAGAAGGGAAATTACTAATGAAAAAAATATAAAGAAAGGAAGGGAATTATAAGGGGAAGGAATGGGGGAAAAGAGAGGGTGAGGAGGGAAAGAGAGGGAATTAGAAGGAGAAGAAAAGGAGATTAAGAAAGAAGAAATAATGAAAAAAGGAAGGAATTAGAGAGAAAAAAAGGCGATTAATGAAGGATAAATAAAATAGGAATATAGTGTAGATAAGAATCAGTAGATGAAGAGGAGATTAAAGAAGGGAGAAGAGAGGGAGGAAAAGCGGAGAAGAAAAAAAATAATAAAGAGAGAAAGGCGGAGAGCAAATGAAGAATGTTGGAGGGGGAAGAAAAGAAAGATTTTTGACAAAGACGAAATTTCTGAGAATAAAAAATAACCGATTTCTTCCCGGTCATTCATTCCCATAGGCCTATATATATGCGCGTCCGGAAGTGTTCTCAGACCAGTTGCACGAAAATGCGTTTGTTTTGTAAACTTAAACTTTCACCTATAACGTGAGTATGCGACATGTAAATGCGCTTCATCTCATA